TAGTAGTAGTAGTAGTAGTAGTAGTAGTAGTAGTAGTAGTAGTAGTACTCCTCGTGGTAGTAGTGGTGGAGTAATGCTAATAGTATTGGTAGTAGTAGAAGTAGTATACAATGGTGGCAGAGGTAGTCCAGCAGCAATAATGGGATGAGTAGTTCCACTACGTACTATATAACTTCCTGCTACTAGTACTGCTACTACCACCACTACTATGACCACTAACACTACGACTACGACTACGACTGCTACTACAACCATTATACTACTTCTACAAACTACCGCTAGGAACCTCTTTCACGTCCTAGAGACAAAAGCTGGAGCCCCGTGGTGGTGTTTTTCGCATACCCCCTTCAAAAGGCGATGCTTTTCCAACCTAAACAAAAACGGCATGAGCCCCGTTGTTGCTTTTTGGACCCCCCCTTCCAGAACTATCAAACACACTAAAAGCGGACCAACCCAGACTTCTGTGAAACAAGTCCAGCTGCCCACGAAACCAACATTTGCTCGAAGATGCTCGAAGCCATATCCCTAACCTTGACCCCTTGAAGTTCCAGAGTTACAACATGTGACAGCTATGTTGGGCGGCTGTTTTTGTTTCCTCCACCACCACCACCACCACCAGCAACAACAACAACAGAAACAATACAATGGGGAGGGAGTGGGGAAAGGAGCCGGGGAGCTTTGGTAGAGGCACACGAGGGCGGAGGAGCTGAGCTTATTCGCCCAGTTGGCCGTCTGGGCGAAGAGAAGACTGGTTGAAGACTTGAAGTCAGGGAAGACGTTCTTGTAGCCAGTAGCCACTACTTGGAGTCTCAGTTCGTATGAATATCTATACTTTTTCATGTCACATGTCCCATTTTCTAAGGTACTTTGGAGGGTTCAGGTACTATGGTTAATGGTTCCAAAAACAAAGACACCCCGAAACTATTGACCAACTGAAAAAAAAAAAACAAACTATAACAATCTAGGCCAACCTCCGGCTGGTCCATGGTCTTATCTTGGAGCCACATCTCAAAATAGGCTTTTGGCTCCAAAATGCGTGGCATAAAAACCTGAAGTGCCGTGGAAATTCGTGGACCCCCTCGCCTGATTGTCCTCGGTGTTGAGACATGAGCATTGGCCATTCAAGGTATATCCATTGCAATTCATGCCGTTGCCCTGTCCCACTCTGAAGGGATTCGCACCTTGGCTTAGGGAATCGGAACAAAACAAAAGCTCACCCTACTAGATCCTGGGACCCCAGCCCCGCCTGACCAATAGCACCCAGGGGAAAGGAAACAAAGCAGCTATATGTAGCCGGTAGCTAGCCGCAGCTAAGGGGATCGGATCCGCCAGGATCACCTAGGGTCACCAAGGGTCACCAGGAACAAAAGTAAGAAGACATCCACTCGAAAACCGCTCAACCGCCAGACTCGTCGCCGGTGGCATTGCAGGACTCATCCGCCGAGTACATGGCATTGCTGAAGAGCTGCATCATGGCAGAGGGCTCACATGAGTCGCCCTCACAGGAGTGACCCACCGATCGGCTGGTGTCGGCAGGCACTAGCAAGTAAAGGAGGAGGAGCCTTCCTCCACTCACCATGGCAAGGTTCGCGCGGGAACCGGTGGCGAGAGGTGCGTTGGAGCCCTTGAGCTGGCTGAAGGGCGTGAGCTGGTTGCTCAGAGCATTTCCCAATTCAATGAGACGACGTCTTCTGTCCAAAGTTGCCGGAAATGTGGATGGGACACCCCAAATAAATATCCCAAGATCCACATGGGTGCGCATCAACATATTAGGGAGAGCTCCCAAACAACGAGCCCCTTTTGTGGAAGCAGGACATATAGACGAATTGTCATGCAGATCTTTCCATGTCCCGTTGTCTCCCCTTGTCAAAACGAACATCAAACACATGCGGCATGCGATCCAGATGGCGCCCTTCGATGTAGGTCAAAGGGTCCGAACCGGGACACCAACCCCGTTCGTTCGGGAACACCAACCCGATCTTGCGAGGTCAGTCCGTTTGGCCTCCGTTGGTCGGTGCCGAACCGCGAACCGGTTCGGACGACCGGGGCCGCGGGGTGGGTGGGTGCCATGTTCGGGTCCAGCTACCGAAGCGCTGAGGTTCGGTACGACGGGTCGGTGTAGGGTATAGGTTGACCTGGTGTTGTAAATCGCGAGGGATCCGCAGACCCTCCGAGAGGTAAGACGCTGTTTTGTAGGTGCCAGGAGGGTGTACGACTGGATCCCTCGGGAATGGTGTGTCTATACGTACGTAAAACAACTGCACCGCGAAATCCATGGTGCTGAAAATCGCACAAAAAAAAACTGGAAAAACACGCAACTCAGGAACTGCTTGAATCGCAACGTACCACGCCTTGCAGGGGGAACTTGATCCCTTTGGTCTTGTCCTGCGGCGCCGTGTACCGCGCCCAGTGGTGCCCAACGCTTGGGCTTCTGGCGGTCGTTTGGGTTTGGATTATGTGGGGTGGGTGCCAGGAGGGTCCGGTCATACCTCCTGAGGAGGTACGACTGGAGCCCTATGAGTTAATGTTCGATCCTAATTAGTACGGGAGAACCCCCCCCTAGCAAACAATCCAGGGAGTCTGAAGAGAATCCCTGCCACCAAAAGAAGAAGTAGTAGTAGTAGTAGTAGTAGTAGTAGTAGTAGTAGGAGTAGGAGTAGGAGTAGTCGTGGTGGTGGTGGTGGTAGTAGTAGTAGTAGAAGTAGTAGTAGTAGTAGTAGTAGTAGTGGTAGTGGTAGTGGTAGTCGTAGTCGTAATCGTAGTAGTAGTAGTAGTGGTGGTGGTGGTAGTAGTAGTAGTAGTAATAGTAGTAGTGGCAGTGGTAGTGGTAGTAGTCGTGGTCGTAGAAGAGATAAACAAGGTTAGAAAGGGCAGCAGTAGTAGAACAATATAGAACAATAATAAAGTTAGATTTTTCCCTTAGGGCCCCAAGATTGCATATTAATCCCACCCCCCTAAACAATTCGTATTATTCACTTACCCTAGGCTGGTGTACTACCCCCTTGAAAAATTGTTTGGAGCAATGAAATCGTTGAGTTTAAACAATAAGCGTTTTTGAAAACGATTTTTTTGAAAACGATTTCCAGGTTAGAACTCCATGAATCAAGCAAACATCAGGAGAGTTAAGTAAGGAAGTTAAAGGGTGAGCAATAGCAGAGCAATAGAAAACAAACAAACAAACCTTAAAACAGACACTGGGTGAAAAAACTTTGTTTTATTCCGACCCATCAAACTAATCAGGGTGTGTGAAAAAAATTGGCGAAAACTTATTATTGTTCCGTCCCATTATACTAATTTGGATTCAACATTATATCTGGGATTGGTGCGGACTAGGCCGTGATCACACTGTTTTGGGTTGCAATGGTGTGGCCGCAAAACAACCGCCACAGTGATTTCTTCGTTCCCTCCAGATCTTCCAGATTGGTGGTTTCCCACCAATCCCAAACCGAAATGGTCTGGATCTTCCGAACTTGATCCCCTCGTTGGTCGAGTTTGGGCGAAGTTAGGTCACCAACAGGGTGTAGGGTTTAGGGTTTGGGACTCCAAAGGTCACGGACTACAAACTTCACTCCAAAGGTCGGTCCACTCCTCGGGAAAGGACTACAAACCCAGTCAGGGGGGAGGTCTGAGGTGTCCCAACATGTGGTCTCAGTATTTCTCGGTGAAGCTTAGGTCTCCGTATGTCTCAGGTCTCGGTGTTTCAGCGATTTAACTACTGCCTCCCATTACTATCTCAATCTCAATTTCTCGTCTCCTAGTGAAACAACTACCTCCTTCTAGAGAGCTTGCTGGTTTTCATACATTGGATTTGGGAGTCGACAACAATGGTGTGGACAGCATTATTATGTTTTATTGATACAGTTGCCAATATTGGAGGTACTTTTGACGCGATTAACTTTGAATACATTGCAGCTCCTGGCTGTTTGATAAAGAATTAATTGCAACAAAGGCTTGATATACCTGTTGTTCATGATCGCTGGACATGGTACTGCTATTAATTACTTTGTTTGCAGCATTGATAAAGCCATTTAAACCTCCAGGTAAAGAAACTATGGCGTAAATATAGTTGTCAGTGGTGCAGGAGCTGGGGTTTTGGCATAATTGAATTTGCTACGAGATTTAGGTCCGAATGGAATGACATACAATAACATGTTCAACATCAATAATGGTAAAGTTGTCTAAATATCGTATTGACAAAAATACAACGTGGAACAATAAGCATCTAATTTGCTAATTCATCATACAATTGTTTCTTTTGGACAAACTGTGGTTGGTGCTGATGCCTTCCTGAAATCTTTCCTGGGGTTATATATATAATATATATAGAGAGATCAATTAACATATTAAGTGAGAAAGGATGTTAGTGCTACTAGGAGACCAAATAGATTATCGGAATCAAATGAAACAATCCAATGTCTAATGGAGGTTTCACCATATGCAAGGACCGAAAACAAAACCACATTAAATGTGCCTGTTATACAAAACAGCAGCACATGACGTAACAACCAAGATTTGCACATTGGCAACTGGCATAAACAATACCCAGAATAGTCATGTTGATGCTAGACTTTTGCAAGCAAGCTGTCATGGAGTCTTTCTGATGTGCAAGCCCTTATATACGAGCTAAGTAGGCTAAGATCCCTACCCTGCATGACATATCGGGCTTAAAGTACCCCAGTGATGTGATTTAATTGAAGCATGTCCCGCAAGCAATGTAGAGTTTTGCACGTGTGTAAGTTTATGTCATACTTAATCATATATACTATATACTGTGTATAACATAAATATATATATATATATAATGCGTGTGTGAACTTATTTAAGAGAGGCATGTAGTATTCAGAATATATAATATCACCCATTGTACCTCTCAACAATACTGTTGTATTTCCCTAAAGCATTATTTCAGTAAAGGTACTAAAAAGTCTATTTTGACTGCGACAATGGTCAGTATAATTTTAATTAACTTTATATTTCAACATTGCAAACGCCCTCTGAACCGTATGATATCTTGACACATGCTGAGAATGATTAAGTCTAAATGTTTGTTAATACTGAAATATAGTTGATACCATCAGTAAAGTTCAGATTGTTCAGTTGTCAATTCAAACGAATGGTATTGATCGTTTATTAGATGAACAAGCCATAGCAGTGTTTTCCTATCTATTCTCTATACAGTACTGAAACAAAAGTTTGTTACAGATGTAGAAGGTAATTGTCCAAAGAAAAAAAATCACAACTATTCCTTCCATTGAACTTGGTGTTATATGTTGACATATGTTCGTAAGTACAATATATAATATAACCTGGATCCGAGAATATATATAGATGTGGTGGAACTGGACGGTACAAGTATGTCCCATTCCCTGTAACAGTGGACGATGATGGTTAGTGAAGGCCTTTCTCTAAAAGAAATATAGCGCTATATTGTAATGCGTAATCATATTTGCCTGTTATAAACAGACAGTGAGCACCTAGACCTTGAACACAAAGAACAAGGGAGATAATACATGGAGTGGGCTAACAAAGTTCCGGTCGTTTTGCAAAAAAGTAAAGCTGCCCTCCTCCTGCTGCTCCCAAATCTTTCGCAACTGTTTGAGGTAGGTTGCCTCAAACACGAGTCACTCAAACAAGCAATGACTGTCTGACAGCAGGAAGCTGTGTAGCATTCCATGATTCCACGTCCATGTGTGCAACCAAACGGATACCAACGACAGAAACGCCAAGAACGCCGTTTAGGAGACTCTTTGATCCGTCTCCGGTGTCCACCAATGGACCATTCCGCCGGTTCGAATCCGTACGTTTGAAAGGCGAGAGACGTTCGTGAACATGTTTCCGATGGAGACACATGGATCTGTTGTTCCACCCGAAGAATCCGGGCCCAAAACAAGCAACAGAATCCGGGTTTGGGGTTTAGGGGCCCAGACTTCCTCCCTCTACAAAGGGGGAGAAGGTCCGACCCCTGCCAGTTTCCGTCGCCCAACTCGCTCGGACCTTCGTTTGCTCGGACACGGCCCAAGTCGACGGCCCAACTCGCCGCCTCGCCGCTCTCCACGAACTTGGTGACAAAGTCTCGAAAGTCCCGCACCACCTGCCACCGGCGGCGCGTTCGGAGGTCCGCGTTGCGTTCAGTCGGCGTGGGGAGTTCGCTTCTGAACGGGGCCGAACACGGCGCGCGGGTCAGGACGACCACGGGTCCCCGTGACATGGGGAGACTTAGGGTGATGACTTCAGGGATCCCGAGACGTGACGTTTTCGGGGCCGATTCGTAGCCTTTTGGGAGGGAACGGCCTCATGGCCTCACGGAGCGTCTGGGCGCTGAGCATATGAATTCTCATGTCCCTGATCATAAACCTTCAACCAGGACCCTCCGACAGGTCACCAATAGAGACCTGTTAGGGCCTAACAACCCTCAACTAACAGCCTGGCCAGGAGGGTGCTGGAAGGGGTGTCCAGACGTGTCCAGTCTGGAGGTCCCTCTACGTCGTGGGCCTAGGGTCTTCCATTAGCACCTCAGGTGGGTCGAGTTTCTGGACGAGCGGCCGAGGTCCAAACAGGCGGACCTTCCGAAGCGGCCGGTTTCGAAGTGCATGGTGAAGGGTTAATGAGACAACTTCTGCAGGTAAGGAAGGAGTCTCCCGTGTTTCACCCGCACCTCCTCTTCGTTGATGGTGGTGCCGTAAATGAAGTTTCCCTCCTCCATGACTGCAAACAGTGGCGCGTTCTCTGAGCCAGCTGGAAACGGCTCCTTCAAATCGCCAGCTGACAACTTTTGACATGCACGTGCACGGTCCTTGAGTCTCACTGGGATTTGACGACTTCAGCATGGCATATCTTACCTTCAGATCCTTCAGCGACTCATGGATGAAAGCACGACTCATTTATGCCATCACCCACATTCTGAAGCCCAAGAATTTCCATACAAACCTCATTACAGTTGTGGTTGCAGGATCCTGGTTGATGGTTTTACCTCACTTGAAGCATATCAGTCAGTGGATTTCAATCATCCCAAGTAAAGGTGGACAATATCTGAAACCACCACCCAGCGTCCCTTCAACCGACTCAGTTGGATGCAGCAGAACTTGATGTTGCACAACCGCTGCTTGCAGGTGAACTGTTCCCACGATGTCAGAGGCCAAAAACGGGCCAGGCGAGCCGTTATCTTCTCCCACTCTGACCCTTCTATACAGCAAAAAGGCACAAACACAAAGAGACCTCGCAGGCAAAGACACCAACACCAATGAAACATAATATGTCATACCTATATTATATGCCTTGATCTGTTGGGTACCTTGTTCTCCAAAGTCCATGCCTTGCTTGCCCCAGCAGCCGCAGTATTGTAGGACACCTCGCTGAAAGATCTGCCAAAAGTGAATCTTGCTACATAAATAAGAACTGCAAGCAAAATTCCACCTATATACTCGCAACAACCACTTTGCTGTGTTGGTCGTTAACTCTATCAATGCGGGACAAAAAACACGTGACGCCAAGCTACCAAATGACACGACCCAGATCAGCGCAAGTCCGTGACGATCAGCGCAAGTCCGTACAAAGTCCAAGCGAAAGTCCTTGAAAGTCCAAAGGGTTGATCATCAGCGCATCTCCGCACATCTCCGCACGCGTAGCTCAACTTGGGAAGCTCAGTTGGCCCGGAAGCGGTCCGGTCTCTGTCCACCGAAACCGTGCATCTCTGTGTCTTCCGGCGATGCACCGAAACCAGGGTGACCCGAAACCGAAAGGGTGAAGAGGCCCTACACCTCCAGTCGCTCCTCAGAAGGTATTTAGACCCTCCTGGCACCCACTCCAGTCCCACCTTCTCAGGTTCGGTACTACTGGAGGCCAAACGGGAGGTAGCATTAATGCAACCCGAGACCCAGATATGACTCCAGGGTCAAAATGGCTCAAGAGTCCACCACCACCAAGGAGTTCAGGTGGTTTATGGACACCCACTGACGATGTATGTTCCATCCAATAACCACCCCTTCCGTGGTGCTGGCTCGATCACAGGACATGGAAACACATGTTGTTCTCGAGTTGTAGCTGGCACTGCACCAGCATAAACTCAAGAATGTCTGAACGAAAAAACAACATTTCCATACTTACCAAACCAGTCAGTTGCCTCAAAAAGGGATTCATTTTTATCAGTCAATCTTCTAGTCCGGAGCTCTCGATCAAGTCTTTCCATCTTTGGATCACCAAAGATATAAACGTGTGGTTTTGAAAGAAAGAAAGCAAGACTAAGGCCCACACATCAATTCATAAGAGTATACAGTATAGGGGCTTTCTATTGAATTTCACCCGGTCCGACAGAAAGCTTTGTACACACATCACGGCGGGTAGTTGAGACTACCCCTACCCGCAGCCGTGGTGTTGATATGCTATGCTATATTACAGTGAAGAATAGTAAAGATATGGGTTGCCCCTTTTTCCAGCAATGGGCTTCACTTCGTCCCTCGGCCTCCCGGCCAGATCACGCCGGAGCGCTTGACCCTGGGTCGGTGGTCGGCCACGCAAGGGAGGGTCGGGGAGCGACGGTCGGAGTGTTTGGGGTCGGGTTGGGTGAACAGGTAAAAAATGGGAAGAACCTCTGAGGCGGAAGATGCTGGTATACCTGGTAAGGCTTCCATACATGGTGTGGAACTGGAATATGTCCTCCATGTACCTCCAGTGGCCCCTTTGAGAGAGGTCCAACTGTGATTTAGAGAGTGGCTGCTACACAGCTTCCCAGTTCCTATGGATCCATCTGCCACCCTCCTATCGAAGGTGATGTGTTCGAGACACTTTTGATGTAGGTGGTCTTGGAGGGTCCAGTCGTACCTTGCCTGAGAAGGGGTGGCCTCTGGATCCCTAGTGTTATGAAACATGGAGGAACAAGTAAACAAGCGAATGCTTGGATCTTCCCACTGTCGATTCTTCCGAATTTGGAACATTTGGGACATATGTCACTTGTCGCGAATGTCGGTGGAATGTGACATTCGGTGGTGGGGGACGTTGGGTCACATGTGGGGGAAATGGTGAAGAATCGAATGGTCATATCCCTGTCCAGTCTGACCGTCCAAACCGGATCGACTTGACCTCCAAAAGTATTGGTTTGTTCTGTATGACCATCTCCAGTATTTCATGAGGTCGACTTGACTTGTAGGGTATTATGGCTTGTTTTGGGGCCTCATGGAGTGGTCCTGGGGTTCATGGACGTTGCTCTCTGGTTTCGACATGCGAACCGATGGATCTGGGCATTCGACGGAGAACAAGCACTCCACTGAAGAACAAGCACTCCACAGGAGAACAAGCTGTATGACACGGATCAGGTCGGGGTCAAGGATGAAGTCAATGCAAGTCACAAGACAACCACTGAGCACCAAAAAGTTATTCACTCACATGGATCGCGAAGAAAGAGGAGAATCTTCAAAGCTCAGCATATTTGGGGAGGGGGCAGAAAGTTCTAGAAATCGTCATGTTTGTTCTATAAATAGAACACATCTACTAGTCACAAGAAGCGAACGGGGCTCCTGGCATCGCGACTCGAGTCCGGAGCGATCGGACGCTACGAGGGCCGGGGCGAAACTGGCCTGGCATCGCTACGAACGGAGCGATCGGACCGAGAAGAGGAACGACTCCCTCATTCCGAAAAACCAGCTGTGCCTCACAAGCTCGAGCGAGCGCCAGCCTGGGCTCGATGCAGCAGCTCACATCCATAGCTCCAGGGCAAACCCTGCGCGGGCGGAAGCCAAGGGTGTCGGAGGGTGGGGCTGTTTCGAACTGTGAGGGTGAGTGGGTGGCTGGTGTGGTGGGGTCGGACTGGTTTTGACATTGGTTCTCTTCCAAAGGTGAGTGTGTCTCCAGGGTGAAGGGCCAAATCTGTCTGTGCGACTGAAATGGGCTGTTGAAGTAGAGAAGAGGTTGACATTGACTCTCAGTGATCCCAGTGAATTCCAAGCAGCCATACAAGTAGCAAAGGATTGAATCCCTAGGGATCCACTAGTGGATCCACTGGCACCTTCTCCGAAGGTAGTTGGACAGTCCAAGCCAACATTAAAGAGTCTCCAATGACCTTCTCAGAGGGTATGTGCATCCATATGGAATGGCCCTTGATCAGTACGTCTTGATCCCAACCAACTGGCGACTTGCATATGAAGCGACCTGAAGAAGCATTGGCAGTAAAACACACTGGATTCGCTGACCACTAACCAAGAGCAGGTTGACTCCAAAAGAATGTGACAAAAGCAACTCCAAACTGAAGTATATCCCAAACACTGCATGGGGGTGGTTTCAGGGGTCAGCATGTATATGTTCAATAATGTTCAATACATGAAGTGTCTGGGTACCGTGAAAAGGAATTGGTTCTTCGGTGTGATTTTGTGTTGATATTTTCCAGTTTGAGGTCACCAACAGGGACTCCAAAGAGGTCACTTTGAAGTAGCTGGTTAGAGGAGATATACTGCAGCTGTATATATCTTGATTCCAACTGACCTCTTTGTCTCACGATCATCAGGGAAGTAGTTACAACAAACAACCACGAATACTAGATACAGATTCAGAATAGATGCCACAACCCTAGGCCTCCAGCCATACCTTTCACCGGTTCGCAGTTCGGTAGCTGGACCCTATCACCTGGCAACCACCCACCCCGCAGAGTCCCAACCGAACCGGTTCGCGATTCAGTACCGACCAACAGAGGCCAGTCACGGGTCTTTGTGACCCCAACCCTACAGTCGTCCAGTCTGACCCAGGTCCAAACCGGGTCGACTTGACCTCCTGGAGAGTATTGGTTCTGTATGACCATCGTCCAGTATTTCATGTCACGGGTCCTTGTGACCAGCTTGGTGCACCTGTTTCGGACCTCGCCCGACCAGTCGAGACGGGTCGATGGTCCACTCCTCTGGTTCGGTCTTCGACTGGAGACGGATATACCAAACCTGGACCCCACTGACCCAGTACCTGAGAACATGGGACAACCCGAACAAACAACAGGTATACGACTGTATCCATTGTCCGAGGTACTTTGGAGGGTCCAGGTGAAATATCCCCACCATTGTAGTCGAACCGCCCTCCGTTAAACAACAAGAAGGGGAATCCATTGGAATCCCTTCTATAGAACCATTGGTTTACGAAGGGATTTGAAAACACGACAGAATTCCAATCAACCATTAGATCAACCATTTAAAACATGGTCATCGGACTTCCGTGGTCCAAACACCTTCTAAAGAGATCTAAAGAGGATTGGAACTTGAAGGGGCCCGGAGTCGACGTGGGGGTCGTTCGTACCTCAGGACAAAGAGTCGTAGTTGGCTGGGCTTTTGCTTGGGGTCAGGTCCTTTCGTTCGGATACTGGAAGTCGGGTCCATCAAGATCCAGACACGACTGATGGGACTGGCATATGAATCCATACATTGGGGGGTGGCAGTCCGTCCTGGCACTCCCAGACAGGTCGTGTCTGGGAAGAGGAACCGTTCGATCCGATGAAGAGGATTGAGGTGGCGGCTCACCCGTTCGGCGGCTCAGCCGTTCGGCTGCCATGTTGACGCTCAATCGATGGGATCAATGCAAAGGGCCGCCACTGATCCCAATAGCCTGAAGAACGTCTTCCCCCAAACAGAACGTCTTCACCCCCGCTGCAGACAGATCGAAATGCCTCTGGAAACCAGTGGGTTTTGGGGATTCCATGTGAATTCCGCAGGGATCCGCAGGGGAATCACAAGGCGA